AACCTCCTATTTATTTGTTTATCTTTTTACAGTTATTCCTGTGTCGCTATAATATCTACACCTCCCTTAAATGCAGCACCTTGATCACGCAAAACAACGACAACGGTTGTACCTACTACCATCTCCCATCGSCTCCCACCCCRYCACTGCTGCCGAATCCCACCAACCCAGACCACCGTGGTTTGCGATAATGGTGGGAGTATGGGAGCCTCGACACACTCACCCGGACGCCGACGAACTGATCGTGGAGTATGACCCATGAGAGCAGGTACACGCAACACACGTTGATGGCGAACAAGGCCAAGGCGTCGGTGGCCACGAGTATGCTGAGCGCGTGTATGTACAGGTAGTTGGTGAACACCCAGAGCATGCAGAACATGCAGCACCGAGTCAGGAAGTGTGCGGCGGTGAACCCGCGGTCCCGAAAGTTTCGGACRCTCTCTCCAAGAATGTCGGTGGGTGTCTGGTAGTTGGGGCTACCCAGCTGACAGAAAAAGTACAGCGGGAAGAATAGCACGGTCCAGTTCGTGCAAAACCATGTGGTGAAGAATGGCGCATTGTACGTCATCAGCTGTAACGCGTCCACCCAACGGTACAACGTCATGATATAATATGTGTATAATATTTATTACATAAAAATAATATTAATTATTCTAATAACGTGTAATGATATGAACGTGTATGTGTGCGTATATTAGTATGTACGTATATAACCGACAGAGGTCATCGATGCTTTTATAGGTACATATAGTCAATTTCGATCCAGTGGCATCAAACCATATCTCCCAAGCGAGCACACTCGCATTGCTTCTGGTCTGGCAACACAATATGTGTATTCGAAAAATGTAAAAAGTGCGCAAATGTATTTTCTTAATGCGGGCTTAATAATGACTTTGTGATAAACTGATAAATTATTGATTTTAATAAGTAATACAGAACAAATTAATCCAGTTTWTAACTTATGGCTAATAATGAACACGACTACATCTGAATTGGTTCCCATACCTGAAAATTTATATCAAAATCGGTTTCCGTCATTCCAGGTAACACACATCCTAATATTGGTTTCCGATAAAGACTAAAAGTTTCTAAGGTTTCCGATAAAAATATCTGTTAATTTTTACATCAATAATACATACAACTTAAAAAAAAGATAAATCGACGAATTAAAAAAAAGACACTATTTTTATTTTTATTTATTACGTACATTGTAATTAAAAATAAAAAATAAAAATAGACAAATAAGATATTATTTAGATTATTATTTATTTTACACTTAATAATAAAAAATGAAAATCACATTTAGACAAAAGTTAAAATTTTTAACACCCCGAGAACCAATTCGGACATTTCAGAACCAATTTGGACACACCGATGAACACAGTACTCTACAGTGAGGTGGATATAGTTTTTCATAATAGAATAAACTATAGGATTCCCAATTGCTTTTTTTGCAGGAATTTTGAATAAAAAGGTCACCTACCTAGATTTGGGTAGCAATCCATGTAAACCATCTCAACAAATACCTATATAAAGATTCATTAAACACTTTATGGTCCTAACCGTTTCAGAGTGAGTGCGGGGCATGTGCTCCTTATGGTTTGATTTAAAATAATTATATAATAAATTTGATTCGTATTCTCTATTATCTGAAATCCTCCGGCCCCAAAAAGCTATTAATCTTTAAAAACATAATAGGAATAAGTATAATTTACTATCGAATAAAAATAACTGTGATTTTCATGAAAGGTTTTTTCGATTGGTGCCTACGTATTTATAAAAATAACCGTACATTTAAAAATATAACAATATATTTAGGATATTTCATTTCAGTAAACAAATTGTATAAAATCCGTATTAATCGGTTAAATAAAAAAATATATAATATGTCAATGAACAATGATAAACTTGCGGATAAAGTGTGTAGAACAGCACACGCACGCCGCCGCCGCTAAACAATATTATAAAGTCTCGTTTTCGACCGCTCGTGTAATATTCCCATTAAAAATACATTATAATATATGATATAATGGCGTGTAAAATAGTAATTTCCGAATTTCATTCTTCTACCGTCAGCGAGCATTAATCCTGACCTTGTGTATAAACAATACAGTCTAAGAATAATCTARTTCTTAGACACTTCGTCCTTACGTCCTCGCTTATCCATGTGGCTATATGTAAGTATATAATATGTGTTCGGAACGGCATAATATGCGCGCGCGAGTGAGTGTGTGTGTGTGTGTGTGTGTGTGTGTCAATTTCATGAAATTGATAACATTTGTGTTATATGTACATACCGTTTGTTGGTGTATGGACGAAAAATTAAACCCGCTGCCTGTAAGCACTGGATATTTGGTCGGATGGTACATATACAGGTATTTAATAGCGTGCGTGGCACCAACCCAAGACGCGGTGACGAAAAATGTGACGCACAAACCGTAGTAAACCTGAAGACATACGTAAGTATATTATACACAATACAATATACCTTAAGTAAAGAGAAAATTGGTATGTATTTTTCAATCGGCTTATTTCTACAATCCAGGAAATTGATTATTTTTTGAAATCTAACTACTAATTATAATTTTTGTGTTGCCTGGATTTAAAGAAAAATAAACAAATCGTGCTGTACTATGCGTGCAAAATACAAACCTTCCTCGCATGTTTCGAACAGCATTTGTTCTTCAGCCTCTTGAAAATACCCAACTGCCTCCGCTGGCACTGTTCCACTTGTTCCACATCTTCGGGCTGACACACTAGAAAAACGATACCAAACAAGACCAGAATTTAAGTCATAAACACATATCCACAGTACACACACACACGACATTAAGATAAATGTCGGACGACGGGTTGTATTTTGTTTGAGGCGTGCAGAAATGTTCATTCCTGAAGATGAGGCACATATTATATTGTTTAATTGTTTGTTATCTGCCTCAAACACAGTTGAACACATTAAAGGAACGTACGCGATTTGTTTGTTTAAATTTCACTCGAATAAGCCAAATGATAGGATTTCGCTCCACTGCGTGTTAATCGAATTCTTAGCATATTAATTATTTGTACACCCTGCACACCTCGGCTACCAAATTCACCCGTTGTAAGATCAACACAGCACAATCAGACACGTACGAGACTCGCTTCTGGACAGCACGTGCGAGAAAGGACCATACGGTCTGTGGTCTGACGTCAACACGGCGTTACTTTGCGAAAGTCTTGGCTTCCGTGGGTTGAATATTGTGGGCACATCGCTGTTTTCGACCTTCATCACTCAAATATCTAKAAAATCAATACATTTTGATTTAGTTAGGTCATGAACTGTTAGGTTATGTCCAAGAGATATAATTTATTCATTCGGCTCGGTCATTTTGTAAATTTTTAATATTATGCACAATCGATAGTATACCTAATTCGATTTTAAATCCCAATCCACTAAACAGTCAACGCATCTGCATAATAATCACGATAGTAGTTAATAATTGAAATAAACAGTATTCAACAAGTTGATAAAAATATTGATTACCTACGTCATTTTTACGTCTGAAATGTCGAAATACGAATAATATTTCGCTGAAATTTTGTACTGACAAATAAGTTATTTTTAAATTTAATCCAAAAATCATTTTTAAATTAAATTCTGTTACGAAAAAAGCTTATAATATATTCTAATAACTTCTACCTATTTAAAATTGACATCATATATATGAATTCGTTTTTAAATTTAAGTTTGAAACACAAAGTAACAACAATAAATATAATGGTTTAAACAAATATTTATTGCACTTAAATATTGTACTTGGAGACCGTCCAAACGTATATGTATATTATGCTATACCTACCTACATTAAACATTTCATCTCCATTCCTAAATGAGACCTATCTTACTATCTTTTAAAAACAATATTTCTAACGTTATAACATTGGTCAATTAAATTTGAAAGTTAATTTTTTTTACTAATAATTTTTTTTTACTAACAATGTATTTTTTTGTTATATCATTATTTTTTATTTATTATTAATTATTAAATCTGTGAGATGTTATAGTGATGTTTGTAATACAGTTTTAATTTTCCTTGATCCTAGAAAGGTGGTTTTCTATTTTATTGATTTTTTTTTTATTTTGGTCTTTTTAATTTCTATTGGTAAATGTAAAAATAATTTTCGTAAACAAATATTATGTGAYGTAACATTGGCATTGAGGTACTGCACTACTCCTGTTATATTTATTTCTAGGTATTAATTGACTTTATAATAATTATTATAAAATCAATTCTATTAGTTCTATTAGTTATTATTTATTTTAATAGTTATGATTTATCAGTATAAATATTTCTATTTCTATACTTTTTTATATATCTTCACTTTTAAAAATTAGAGAGTATTATTTTTTATTTAATCTTATCATTGTGATAAATTTGGTTATCAATTTTTCGATAGATACACATTATTAAAAAATATTCATGTTTGGTCATGTACTCATGTTTAACTTATTAATTCCTATATCCGCACGGCTTTATAATGTATAAATGTTTTATTTAATTCATTATTGGGTACTGTTTGTAGTCTAAATTTAAGGTTTATGTTTATATGATTCAGAAATATCCTTAAGAGTTATTAAATTGTTCCTATTTAGGTACAATAATTTTATTTATAATTAATATATGATTATACAGGGCATTTTAAAATGACATATTTTATACTCATAAAGTCATACGTTATAATCTTATAACTTATTGTATGAATATTTTCTTTAACTTTTGTTATTTTACAACTATGTAAAAATCAATTTACTAATAATAACACTAGACGATGGTCTTTATAAAATATTGTAAGAACATTGAGAATTTGAGAACCTTAATACATATTATAACTGCAAATAATGTATTCCTAATAATTTACTGCGGAGTACGAAGTATACCTAGCTTCTTACTGACTACTATAAATCAGGAGTGAGTATAAATCAATAATTTGTTAAGATATTATATAAATATAGATAAAGTAGTGAAAAAACGCATTTAAAATAAAAACAACGCATATAATAAACTTTAAAAACATGCATTGAGAATGTAAAAAAATGTATTTCATATTTCACACTTCAGGAGTTGTCTTATATAAAAAATATGCCAAAAATATTTTACCACTTGTTATAAAGACGCGTAACGTAAATAACTAAACATTTTATAAATTTGGTAATGAATTTATTCAAAAAATATCAAAATTACCTTTCAAAAAATCGACGAATTTCAAATTAAACGTAATTCCTATATCAAAATAAATCTTAATTATTATAATATCTAATATAATCGTATATTATGATAATTTGTTTATTAAATAGGTATTTACAAAGTTACTACTTACTAATAATTTCTGAATAAAAAAATAATTAAAAATTATTGTGATTGAATACGACGGTCACTACGATAAATTGGTGTTTAAAAGACCACCTTYATTAAGGTGAACAAATTATTACAAAGTATGAAAAACAGCAAAATATAAATTCAATAAATGTTTTATTTGTATTATTATTGAAGTATCAGGATTCAGGAGATAATATGATGCTCAATTATTAAATTATATTCTAAGATACATTTTGATTGAAACTTAGGTACCTATATACACTTAAATATTAAAAGATTTATGTATCACTGCAAACATTGAAAAAAAATGCATTACCTACTTAATAAAGTGTCRGGCTGCAGACCACTTTATAAAACCGACTTAGTATAAGTGTATATAAGTACAAAAATAACAAATTACTTAAATTGTACCTACACTAGTACATATGCCTACCACCTGGTAACAATCATATTATTGTTATTTCGTATAGGTTTAGATGATAGGCATGTACACATATTAATTATAATATAATAATAGTCACGTGTTTGATGAACCACGTGTATATTAAAATTAATATTTTTCATACCTTTAAACTGGTCGGGGGAACAGCAAGACGACGTCKTACGTTTGAGTTCGAAATCATATTATCGTTGCAGAACTTTCGGGACAATGAGATAAGAGAGAACTGCAGCAGACGTCTCTCATCATCATGACTATAGTGCGGCCAAGATACGATCGATCGTGTACTATGTATTATTATAAAACGTATGATATTAATTGTTGGCAAGTATATCAAATAAATATTTTATGTTATGTAAAAAAAAAAAAAAAATTTGAAGTACAAAAAAACGGTCGTGAAGCCTGGACGGCGTAAGTCTCACACGCGTTCTATACAGCTGGTAGGTAACAATTACGTACAATTATTATTATACTATTATACTTACTAAGACGGAAGGGGCTACTACATGTCGCGCTGCAGTGATACAATACAGGTACCTATCTTGATCACATCGCGTCAAACAATGTTTGATATGACGCGTGCTTAAAAAAATATTATTGTTTGTTAATCGTWATACGTTATCGTCGCGGTGACCCGGTAACTCTGGTCACGTAGTCACGTAGACTCCRAGCCGTACACAAAACTGCAGCAGAGCGAACGCGCGCGTACAGTAGGTGGTGCCTACCACTCGAGCGAGCGGTTATTTCGCCGTTTCCATTGCCGTTTCTCTCTCGTTCTTTCTCTGGCCATCCCGATCGCTGTCCCACACTAGCTGCCTTACTCTCTCTTTCGTACTCCTGGCATGCGACCGCAATTGATTTTTCCACCCGCCGCCGACACGCAGGGACCGACCTCTGGCGGCGCTAATTGGCCGGCGGCGGCGCGCGCGCGTCCCGTTGTGCGACAGCCGCACTGATGCCCGCGGCCGCTGCTCTACCGCACGACTTATGCTATAAGGCCGTCGCCGMCGCTCGCTGGACCCACACCACTGCCCCGCGCGCGATGGTTCCACAACATTATAACAGCTTTATACAYATTTTATAATTACGGTACAATTAAAAAGCACGGTCCGCGAATCACAACATGTAGTCAATACCGTACGGGCGGTGGTTTACAGCACAATAATATTGTGTACCATAAACCTATATATCACCTGCTATTACCTTAACTGTGTGTGCTCATATTGTATATTATATCYGGTGGTTAACTCACAGCTACTATATACCATATTTTCATGATATTTAGTACTCGTCAAGTAAACGCGCATGGCACGGCGTTTTTCAATTATAATATAAACATCTAGTTTTTGTCGCATCAGCTGTAATATGATTTTCTAAGTTCATTTTTTTTCTTTCGATTTTTATAACCTAGAGCAGATTAATAGTAATATAAATTATTACTCTTTTCTAAGCACGGTCTATTAATTTTATCGGATAGTGGATACCAAATGAACATATCTATTAATTCAAAATTTGGATGTTCGTGGTCGGTGAACCGCCTGCACTTTAGCTAAGAACCTATACCCAATGGAAATTAACTTACATCTGGCCAAACATTTTAAGTGTTATACGTATTGCATACTATCTGCAAAAAATTTAATAAACTTCAGTAATTTAAATTCATATAATATTTACATACTAGGTAGGTAGATATTTTCAATGATATATGGAGTATATGGAGGTCARATGAGAGGGCAACTAACTCCCCAAATATATATCTGATGGGATAAAACTATAATTTTAATCTCCCCGTTCAGTGTTGATCAAATGATTTTTTCATTGGGGCGGGGGATGGCTGATTTCTTAAAATGCACTAATTAATTATTGAAAATATAATTTATGGATATCAGATATTGAAAAAAAAAGACCATGAAGGGAAACCATATCTCCCTATCTCCCTCATTACCCCGTTTGGTCGTCACTGCAGCACTAATATTAAAAGTTGTACCCATTTATTAAGCAATCCGTTATTGAATGCATAATGTATTTGACACTTAGATTTTAGACGCATAACGCATTATTCATGAAATGAGTGTGGAGGTATCATTATTATTATTGATGTTTTGCTTAATAAACTCATGATTCTGCAGTACTTACTTTAATGACCTTTCATATTTTTCATTAGCACCATATGAAAAAAGGTCCTGAAACACTTGTTATTTTAAATTTATATTTAGCTATAAAAATAGACAAAAAACTTTTTTTCCTCTTATAACATATAATATAACTTATACACGTAAACATTTGAACCATGATCGAACATTCATGACAATAAACGTCATATGCAAATTATCTGCAACCTTTAAATTACAACAATAATAGTATAACATATTATGATATACATTCAAATTCAATTCATTATTCATCTGAAATTCATATTTTAGAGATAATTGAATAACGATTAATGTTCATAATATATACATTTGTATATATGGATTGTATAAATATATCAAGATTTGGATGACCCAGCAAATATTATACGGATATATATTATTATTCCTTATACAGTTATATATTTATGTATAGTATGATGCAAAAATACAGATGTCGGCGCTTAAAATTGTATTCAAAATAGATTGTCATTGAGATCTTAACATTAAAATTATTATGTAGGTAAATAGATTTTAAATATCGRTACAAATCGATAAAAATCATTGAAGAAATCAAATATGATGAAAGATAATCAAAATTTATTTTAAAATAAAAATAATATAATTCATTAATTTTTACCAAAATGATAATCGTTTAACAATATGCAAATCGATTTAAAGTTTAAAAAAAAAAGTATAAAATTAAACATTATCTTATTGGTATATAGTGTTTATTTTGATAAATAACTAATATCTTATTTTTATAGGCCTGTTACACAGTCGTGCAGGAAACGATGGCATATTATATTTCTTATAGTTAGAAATCAGAATTAAAATCGATATTTAAATTGAAAAAGAAAAAGAAAAATTATGCTCAAAATCTAATCAAAAATCATAATACAACGAAATCAATATTGTGCAATAATAATTATAAAATCAATATATTATTTCGAATTTAAATCAGAAAAAAACAAATATCGATGTATAGAATGGAAATTAAAATCATCAAGAAGTTTAGATTTCAAATCTTGACGCGTATACATAATATAACTACGATGATATTATATAGTTTTATAAGTTCCAAATACATACAACATTATAACATCATGATGGAGTCTGGAGAGTGTACACTACACACTATATACATATTGTATACATTTTTAATATCCATATTATACGTACAATACTACAATGTACATATTATATTAAAGAGGTACGTTATAGTAAACAATGTACTGCAGCTAGCCACCTCACAATTTATAGTAGCTTCCATGCTCCAACTGTGCAAATAAAGAACCCAACAAAAATCGTTATATACTTTTGCCCCTAAGGTTATTATATTATGTGCTCGTGCTGCTGATACAACACCGGGGTCAAGGTCAACTCTGCAGATAGAGATCTATAATTGACTGGATTGTTGTAGAATTTAAGGACCACGACTGCTGCCGTTTTGCTTATATATATTATATACAACAACAAGATACATACTTTTTCATAAATACATATTTTTATGACATATCTGTTGTTAATCTGTGGTGACGTCTTTAATATTGGTATATTATTCTTCCCATTTCTATCTACAGTATTTTGTTATTTTATATAAAYTTGATTTAAATAACTGAATACTGCATGTTTTAAAAGTTATATACGTAATAATAACGAGATTAAGAGCAAATGAAAAGCCATTATGCTTAATTATTTATTATTTTTGTTTTTTTTTTTTTTAATAAATCCTTTAACATCATCATACCTAACTTACATTTACATTGATTATATACTTAAACTAAATCATAGCTGCATTATACTGAGTATACCTACATTTTTTTAACATATGTTTTACCTACTATAGAAATTATGTCTAGAGCTCTCCACATCCATCAAAAAATAAATGCCAAAAGCAAAATATAAATTGAACTCTATGCTATAATCGATATTATATTATAATACCTACTTGCGTTATTATATGCATACAACTTTTATTTAATGAACTTTTATAAATTTAGGTTAAGCGACTAGATACACAACAATAAACATTTCATAATTTAATATAATCATATAAATGAAACATAGTCTTACCTATACCTAACATATAATACTACTAGTACTATCAATAGTTATAAAGAAAATCCTAATTCTAAGAAACTATTTAAATGTTCTATTAATTCATGTATAGCTTATAGCTATTAAATTATTTAACATATCAAAAAAATCTTTTAATGTTTAAACATTAAAGACATGGGTCAGAGGTGGTAAATTATTTGAACGATACGTGCCAAAAAATTCTTTTTTTTCGAGTGCTATATATATTATAATATATTATAAAAAAAAAATTATCRTAATATCCGSTGCCAAAATATATATAATATATGTAATAAAAATATTTAAATTTTTTCCGTGCTCTCGAAATCTCCTCGCGTGTCATAGATTTGCCATCCCTGACATAGATACTTAAAAAAATA